TTTTAGGAATTGAATTCGAGGATTGTGGAGGATTCGGAAATTCGGGAGACTAGGGAGGGGGGTAATTGGGCCTCGGGTAACCTCACTCACTCGACGAAACACAACGCAAGCGTTGATTACGTCGGTTTTCTGTGAGGCCGTGGTATCACTCCGGTCGAGTCGGCCCATTCGTGCCGAAGCATGGCTCTCCCACACTTAAATTTATGTCTTACTTACATTTTTTTTATAAATACTTTTCCATACAAAAACACGTCTATTTTAACTTTAATAATACTGAAGTATTTCTCACCTTCACAATAACATGTGTACTACCAAAGAAACGATAGGCTAATCAAATTACCGTAAGGAGCTAATGAACTGGAAATATTAGCTAAAGAGTTCTCACTCCCGGTATCGAACCTAAATCAACAGGGAAGCCGGTCCGTGTACACTCAAATAGGAGTAGATAGTGAACAAATATAAGATGTTAGGAGGACCCATAAGTCCGGGCCTCATTGTGTACAGTCTAGGAAAATATTGTCCTACACCCCGTACGTTGATGTTTTTATTACTGCTAATGACTGTTGTATTATTGGGTTTATATCTGTTGTATTAAATTTATATAAAAGTTAATATTTTTTAATTTATTGAATGTTTATTTATTTGTTTAAAACCTTACCTAAAACTATCATTACAGTTTTCTCCATTGCGCTAGCTTAGGTCTAAAACTGAATCAATGTACCTAATTACTAATTTAAACAAGACAAAACAAATTGTAAAAAAGAGCAGACACAAACTTAATTAAACTTAACATTTATCCATAAAAAAAGAGATAATACTGACGACTTTATGGTCACGAGATCAGCGGTGAACTACTTACTAAATAACAATAATAAAAAAATGAAATGTTAAATTATTTATCCCATTTGTGCCCATTAGGCCGAGTCTATGTCCTAATAGTACGACCAACCGCTGAGGGCAGCATCTTTTTAACTTGTGTTGATTTTACTACGATCCCCAAATTACATGACTTCACCGTTGGCGTGGTGGTTGGGCAACCGGCTGCCGTGCAACATGTCGCGGGTTCAATTACCGCACGGGGCAACTTTTCTGTGATCCACAAATTGTCGTTCTTGGGTTTGGGTGTCATGTGTGGACTTGTATGTTTGTAAATTTTAAACGCAACTACGACACAGGTGAAAATTCTAGTGCAGGCCGTGCAGGGTAAAGTTTTTTTTTTAAACATGCCAAGTACGGGTATTACGGTAACTCCTTCTAAAGATGAAGGTTTTTATTCAACAGTAGACGTATGATGGTGTTTTTTTTTAATTATTTTCATCTGTTTGGATTTTATCCTCACATGACTTTAAAATCGCTCCACATTTCATTAAATTTATTATTTCGATGCAAAAAATAAAAGTAATTAGACTGTACGATACGATACGATATACTACAACGCACTTAAAAATAAACCAAAATAAATATTATTCTGCGTTGTCATATGGACAAAACATAAGCATGAATAAAATCTGCTCTATACTATTTAATATCACATGTAAATAATAAATAATAGTGTTCACGTTTTAACTCGTCGAGTACCGTCATTATAGACACAATTATAGAACAATAGGTTGCGGTCACCGGTGACCGCTTGGTGTTTGACAGTTTAAACGAGGCCGTCACTTATTTAGGACTCTCTTTCACTTAGGTCCCTACCTTACTAGAGCACGTACACAGATCTATAAATAGAAACAGGGTGGTGTACTCCTGCATGTGTACTAGGTTCTAAATGTAGACGTTTATCATGAGACTAGGTTCGATTGTTGGGCCAGGCGAGTAGTATAGTAATACAAAACCAGATGAATGCATACACGACATAACAGGCTACATAGAGTACAATAAAAGTTGTTAATGAAGTATATCTAAAAACATATTTTAAGAAATCATTATTTGGTGTCACGGATGTCCAAGATCTTACTAAATGATCCGTTTTATCGTTTAATAAGGGAAATATTGTTAAAATAGAGGTTTCCTGAATAACATAACATAACACCTTTTATCCCCTAAGGGGTAAGTAGAGGTGCACCTCTGCACATTATGCCACTGTACAGTGTAACACCCACTTTTCACTATTTATGTTTTGAGTCCCATGTAATAGGGGGTGAGCCTATTGACATATACTGGGCTTAAATAGATTATTTTTGCGAAATGACATCAACAGTAAACTGATAAATATAAAATTAATTTGAAGTTTAAAGTAGTACATTTTATTCATTGACCTCGCGACCTCAGCTAACAATGGCGGCGATAATGGTGCCTATTATCATTGTACAAAAATCGATAGCTCGAACAAAAATAGCATCAACGTAAAATCGCAGCAATATGAGGTAAGCAGTTCAAAAGTGGTGCATAGCAGAGAGAGCGGAGCGGAGCGGCCACCGCCACGCCGCGCGCCGGCAGGTGGCTTAAATTACCGCATTTGTTACACGTTTACACGAAACTGTATCAATATTTCATGCGGATTTACACCAGCTATCGCGATGCTTTGCATTTTGCTATCCTTAAAATATCTACGCAGCTTTTGATTGCAAAGTGAGCAATAAACACCCCCCGGTTTAATTTATCGCGGTTGAAACTTCGCGATTTGCCAACCACATCCAAGTAATACGGTCTCATAGTCAACTATTATTTCAATAAGACAGCGCGCTGAATCCCTACAATGACAACTCACTCAAATGTAAACGCGAACTATTTCCATAAGAAAGGCATTGCGAAAGTTTTTCAATTTTCAAGTGACGCAGGTATGATGGAGAACTTTGGCTTCGGACGCAACGTCCCCGCACCGCCGCCGTCGTCTCACCGCAACCTCACCGCTCACCGCCGTCCCTACCACCCAATTCAAGGCCGATATTGTTCTACATGAGATACTGTTCATAGTTTTAACGGAATATTGATCTATTAAATGATAAAGTTATTAAATTACAAAACATATTTCATTTCTTCGTCATTTGTCAAACTGGTGTATCATAAATAGCTTTTAATTAATTAGTTAATACTTATTTATGTAAATTTAATTAAACTAACAATCATGTGTATTACTAAACGTTTCTGCTCGAAAATTTTATTTTGATTAAATAAGTTAGTACAAAAGAAACCTGTCAATAAAAATTAAAATGATCCGGTAAAACATTAAAAACAAGAAGCTCTAAAATAAGGTAGAATTACACGATGGTACGCCTTTTAAATATTTTTTCTTCTTTCTAACCGTGTCGTGGAGCGCACTTTTATTTAAATTGATAATAGCTTGTAGGTCCGGGGTCTCGGGGAGCGGCGACATTATGCAGCATCACGCGGGGATCACGGGGATTGTTTCCTAAAACAGGATCGAGTGGGAGCGGGGCCTGAATTAAGCGGCTCGGAAACAAATCGTACTTGCTGCTCTCTTTTCCAAACATCTCACTAACAAACATTGAAAAACTGAACACTTTTTATAACATTCAAAGCAACTATGAATAAATTGTACTGTACTCTGTTATGTCTATAAAAAACACCAAATCAGAGAACCGACACATCAGGTACTTCGTATTCTTTATCAAAAAACAATCTGGGAACTTTACTAACATTTTCCTTTTCTCTTATACTTATCTAAAAAATGCCGGCGTGGGTGTCCCTCGGGGCTGACATTTATCAGCTCAATAAAACTTCCATGAAAACATTCAGTGACATCCAATATGATTTCATCGCTGTTTTCAAAAATCCCCAAAAAAAGGACATGAAATATTCCGGATTATTATTCGCTCGCTACTTTGTTATGGACACGTAAACTTTTATGTCGAACCTAAGCAGTATTTGAATTCTCTTTTATATTGGAAGGCAGACAGTGGTGTGTGACGGTCGTGATCGTAAAAGTAAATATACCTACATAAAGTTTTGACTATCAAAATGTGTTTACGAATTCTTTATTTCAAACGTTTACTTTGACCAGTTCTTTAAAACAAAACAAATATTACACGCTGCTACGATACAAGAGGTTTATGACTCTCTCTTTTCTGAACTCTGCATATCGCAACCTTTACGTTTGGAACAAGGAAATGAATGAATAATTAACAAGCATCCAAACACGACACAACACACAGACCGATGAACCTGCCATATCCCAAATTCAATAGTCATATCTCAAGAACGTTAGACCGACAGCGGCGGCGCGCGGCGCGGTACGAGGAAGGTATCACAGAGATAATTACTGTTGTCAGGGTCGTGTCCGCTTTAATTATTTACAGGTTTATATGAACGTGTCAGTTAATGACACGTTAACGTTAACTAGACTTGGTAATAGAGAGGAGCCCAGCTGTATCCAGAGCGTTGTCGAGTTATGTCCCGCGCGAGACAGGCGCCCGATTAAAAATGCAACACTTCAAAACGAGCTGGATTCGGCAGCGGCGTCGCTCGCGCATGCCAGTGTTGTTATGACGCTGGAGCAGACAGCTCGCTCACACGCCCGCTACTAGTGTACGTGTGTTGTATTTGATGCAGTTGTTGTGTCGTGTGATGTCCAAATGTGATGCTCATAATTACAACGCCCGAACTGAGGTAAATCTGAAAAGTGCATTAAAACCATAATGTTAATCCAAATAGACATTGAAACTTGTCACTAAAAATGTGTCACAAAAGCCAATTTGCTTAGTTTACAAATTCTGCCGTTGACGTGGGATAAAGCGCGCCATTTATTTTTAAACCATCGGCGTCAGATCGATCGCCGTGCTGGTACCTACTGACATTCATAAAACAGAAACGCGGCCAGCTAGAGACAGGAACGCTGCAAACGTCGGTATTTTATTTACGTGGAGAGCACAGCGATACTCGTTCCGCTTCTATTTTCGCACTATATCGTTTATTATGAGGGCCGACGGCGACGGCGGCATGGGCGCACTGAGGGCGAGCGCCGAGCGGCGGGCGCGAGTCGAGCGCAGGCCACTCCACTGCCTGATATTATATTCTGGAGCACGCCGCCTCACCTCGCTTCGCGCCAGATATTTCGAGTGCTGCTTCCACCACCTATGAATTTACCTAGTCTCAGTCACAGCACACGCCCGGTGCAGCCGGCCGCATCGCTCAATTAATATAAACGATATTGTTTGCTCTGAGACCGTATCCGGAAATATTGCAGTTTAGCGTCCCCAGTTACGTTTGGTAAAGTTATGGTTTTAATGGCCCGACAGCAAATGAAATAGTGAAAAGTTAACGTTAAAATAAAGTTCATTAGCTGTGTGCTTCATGTGTTTAATTAAGTGCGTAAAACACAGCTATCATACAATTTGCATACTCGATGCCAGGCGTTAACCACAGCGGTCGACGAGACTACGGTATGTCTGACTACGTGAAATGGTTTTTATTTTACACAATCCCAAATAGCTATTAATTTAACGAGTTCGTTTATAAATAATTTGTAACTTTATTTTGCACGATGAACCCAAAGTAAGTAAACATTTCGAAATAGGTTAATTACTTTTGATTTTATGTATATTTAACACTGTAGCAGGCTCACCTGCAGTTATTGTATTCACTATGCTTACATAGTGACAATAATGTGAGCTAAATAATTAGATTAGGTTTTATTCAATCCTTAGTTAACTTTTAAGATAACTATCACAAGCCCTATGCCTATAACACAAGTGCGGTAAACCTCAGATATAAAGGAATGAACATTCTCAGCTAGAGTGGGCTATTGTACGGTGAAAAGCTTGTACAAGGCAAGCTAAGACATAACATAGATCTAGGAATGCACTAGACTAACCACGGGATACGAGAAATGACAATAACAAATAGATATAATATAGAAACACATACAAATAATTATAAATAGAATAGTTAGATATAGAATAGATAGCGTGAAGGGTTCGGTCTAGAACCTTTTTATGTCTGAAGCCTATTTTAAACCAATTATTATTATGTGCGTAATATATGTACGCATACAATGGCCATCGTGTAATATTAATTTGATTTGTCACAATTCTATGACTTTGAAATATTGGCACGAATTATTACTGAAAAGAATCCTTTATCAAGAAGAATCATTTTCCCACAACTAAGATAACAATAAACCATTTCTGTATTATGCATGATGTCTTACCAATTTCAAGAATAAAAATTAAAAACATTGATAATATTCATAAACTTTTAATTATTAAAATTAATTTAGAACAAGAATCTTTTCGTTCTTAAAACACTCATATTTCTTAATTAATTTAATACATAATATTACATCAAAGAAATTCCTTTATAAACTTCAAAGAACTCAGAACTACTAGAGCGCATAATATAATAATAATATAGTAATAACGTCTGTAGTTCAATTTTAGTTTGCAAAACAGAGTAAAAATTTAAAATCAAATTATAATGTTCACTCATCCAAAATGTAGAACAGGAGTGCATTTCTTGGTTTTAGTCTATCATAATTATTCTGTGAACGCATTTGTTAGTCCATTTTATACTAAAAATGTAAATGGGTCAGACAGGCGAGGTTGCGCGCATAATCAATTCATTTAAGTATGTACATATATACGCGGACCCATGAAGTTATTGTTTCATTATTTGGAGTAAGAATAGTACGGACTGCAGCTTCTTAAGAACTTAATAAGTTAACAGTTGCAGTCTGTATTGATTCTTATTCTTTAGTTTTAGTAGACAACGCGATTCCAAGTTCATTGTTTAAGAATACGCAAAGCTGAATGTAGAGTACTCTTTCTTTTACATCCCTCTTACATTATTTTTTGTATCTAGAGATAGTTAAGAAGGTGCAGTCACCCACTGGAAAAAGTAGCCTATGTCAATACTTTATAATTTAAACTGTCAAACACCAAGCGGTCACCGGGGACCGCAACCTATTGTTCTATAATTGTGTCTACAAAACCGGTACTCGACGAGTCAATTAACTATAAGGGCTACTTTTTATTGGACTGCTCGGCCAAATCTTCGTGTACGTGTCTACCGAAACAACTAGTCATGTTTTAATAATTTGATACCTTTACCTAGATTTTATATCTACCAAAATTCTTTATTGTATTTTCTTAAACGTCAAACCGATCTCTTACAATAAAACACAGCTCAGCGCGGACATCTGAACTTTCAATAAACTCAATACTTAGATAATAAAGCTGTAAATGAAGATTTAGTTTCATAATCACCTCTGAACCACATTCCGTATCGAACAGACAGCTGACCTCGAGCACTTCGGGCATAGCTTATAAATTATAAACGGGGCAGAGAAACCATTTGATGCAAGTGGACCGGAACCGTTCTTTGGAAAGATTCCCAGTTAATATAAACTCGATTCGAACGAAATATTCTTATGATAGGTACTCTTTGTGGTAGTACTGTAAGTATGTCTTAGAATATAATTGTCTATTTTTAACCGAATTAGAAAAAAAGAAGTTCTCACTTTGACTTGTATGTATGTATGTGTAATGTATATATATATAGATAATCTCGCACAAATATTTGTGCGAGATTATCTCGCGATAAGCTGAAACTAATACGAAATAACCGACAACTAAAAGAAGGGGTTGAAGTCGGATTTTTAAACGTAGTTTATGATCAATTCTTTATTAGTAACCCCATACTAAGATTTTCGGAGTCGCGCAGAACTTAACGGGTTACCGGGGCTCCGGCTCGAAGTGCAGAAGGAACGGGATGGTTTTTAGTCAGTAAGAGTCTGACACTCCCTCCTGCCACACCCAGGCGGAGGAAGTAACTCGATGATTTTCCCCCCTTAAAAAAATACTAAGATTTTCTTCTGAGGGACTTGTGGGTGCGCATTGCATTTACATACACATCACATCCGGACCGGATCAAGAACCACTTTAGTCACAGTGCAATCAATGATCTCGAACTCAAGCAAGTAAAGCGACGAGTCGTTCAATTCTCCAGCAAGCGTTTTTTTTATTTTTATAATAGCAACAAGGAGTTTTGATTATTAGGTTTTCGGCTTAATCACGTAACTGTTTGACGAGGAACTCGACTAGTTTCAAGCCATGGTCGAGGCTCATATTCATGATTCATGAAAGTTTTAATATAAACAAATACGTTTTGAATCTCACATGGCAAAAGATAATAGACTTCCCAATAATCCTTGGGATTTATAAACAAGCAAGAAGTGACCATTACTATGTGCACCACGAATTTATAGTGAAGTTAAGCAAGCAACGTAACGATTTTCTATTCTTAGTCAAGATCAAGACCAATTCACGAAGATAGTACAAAGTATATACGGCTTCTAAAACCCGCTGTTTACGCTGACCTGAATACTTCTGTTGATTTATAGTTTTACCTTAAATAATATAATATTAACATAACATCACGCCTTTTATCCCCGAAGGGGTAGGCAGAGGTGCACATTATGCTATTACATAGTAACACCCACTTTTCCACTATTTATGTTATGAGCCGCATGTAATAGGGGGTAAGCCTATTGCCATATACCGGGCACAATTCCAGACTCCATGCTACTACTGAGATTTTTTTATAAACCCAGTAATACTTTGCCCGACCCGGGAATCGAACCCTAGACCCCTTACCCGGCAGTCGCACTTGCGACCACTCGGCCAACGAGACAGTATCCCTTAAATATATTGTATTAACTCGTCGAGTACCGGTTTTGTAGACACAATTATAGAACAATAGGTTGCGGTCACCGGTGACCGCTTGGTATTTGACAGTTTAATATCACAGAGATATCGTAAGAATATTTTTAAACACAGCATAACACAACACACCAACATGAATCCTTAACACTCATATGAGTTCAAAATAAATACGTGTAAATACAAATATTCGGAGTAACAACCTCGAAAATTGTCGAATTTTCTATAAAATAATACCCTACTGGGTATTGAACCCAAGTCATAGCAATTACGCTTGTAACCACTGAACTAGCAAGGCAACTGATAACTTAGTACTAATCGCGTAATCTTTAATATTTTCCTTAATAAAATATTTGAAACATATCAAAATGTAATTTGTAGTAAACATAAGTTAATACGAAAATAACATCTGTCACTGTAAATTAAATTATTTTCCCATCGGTCATGAAACGAATAAAATTAATACAACAATGTTAATTGTAATATACAAGCTTTTTGTATTAAAATACTCTACATAATACATATTTCAAAGGTTATAGCTTCAGCTAAATACCTATTGTGTATGGTATGGTGAATAATCACTTTTTCTAGACTTCTATTGTTCGTAACAAACCTAACAGTTCACCTTATAGAAGGCGGTTGCCATAGCTCAAGAATGCCTGCAACACCAAAGGCACCACATCCGTATTATAGAAAACTGTTTCATTTCGCCATCGTTTTACGAGAGTACAGTATTGGAGTTACTATAAATAAAATTTAACGTTGCCATTTAATTCCAAATCATGACATAACATAACATAACATTAACATCACGCCTTTTATCCCCGAAGGGATAGACAGAGGTGCAAATTACGGCACTTAATGCCACTGTACAATATAAAACCCACTTTTCACTATTTACGTTATGAGTCCCATGTAATAGGGGTTGAGTCTATTTCCAAATACTGGGCTCAATTCCAGACTCATGCTACCTCTGAGATTTTTTACAACCCAGTAATACTTTGCCTGACCCGGGAATTGAACCGAAGACCCCAAATCAAATACAAATAATACAAAACAAACAATTTAAAAGAGCTTAGTATTAAATGAGACAAATAAGATCTACATTTTACACATCTAGTTTGTATCACAATGTACAAAAGAGGTTTAATATAACCAGAGAGCATAGAACTCGACAAAAATACGCGATACAGTCCTACATAATATGTCTGGCACTTTAATTGACTCGATACTTGCACTCTATTTTGTATGAGACTGTAGTATTACTCTTACATTAAATAAATAGCTCATGTTGTAAGTATATTAAAACGTATAAAGATACACAATATCACGTCTTTAACGGAAAGGGTGAGTAGAAAATACACATGAACCACATTATGGAACAATATCAACTTTAAGTGTGGAAGAGCCATGCTTCGGCACGAATGGGCCGGCTCGATCGGAGTGATACCACGGCATCACAGAAAACCGACGTGAAGCAACGCTTGCGTTGTGTTTCGTCGTGTGAGTGAGGTTACCGAAGGCCCAATTACCCTCCTCCTCCCCTATCTCCCCAATTCCTGAATCCCCAACGATCCTCAAACTCCTAATCCCCAAAAGGCCCGTAACGCACTTGTAACACCTCTGGTGTTCCAGGTGTTAATGAGCGACGCCGATTGCTTACCATCAGGTGACCCGTCTGCTCGTTTACCGGCTTATGCCATAAAAAAAACGCCAGTTGTTATGAATTCCATCTAAGAGTGGGTGAGTCTGTTATCAAACACCGAGCCACAATTTCAGGTTCAGCTACACAGTTTTGAAAAGTTTGTTATTTGTCAATATTTTACTCGAATCGAGGATATAAACCCAGACCCAAGGCCAATGAAACCCGTTACTTAGGTTTTGTTATAACTTTTTTCTTATAAAATTCTGAAGACATCTTAAACAAACATCTTTACAATCTAGTAAATAAACTGTGTAGATTCCAGTGCACAGTTAATAACAACATTCGGCCTACTTAATGGATGTTTTTCGAAAAGCTCCAGTGTTATACTCATTAGTGGGTGCTCGTTGTGCGCCGTTCATTAGTACTGTGCGCTTTATCTGCAACTTTTGTCTCGCTCCTACCTTGTTTTTCATTCAATTACAAGCCAACTAATTGAAAAATCACGCTGTAGAGAATGTATTGTAAATGGGATAGGCAACAAAATGCTACAGGCACACATACTCACTTTGCAACCAAAGATGTACATATAGATTGTGTAAGCTTTAGTCGATGTACAAACTTACATGTATGAGTATAGGTATTGCAACTGCATCTGGAGATTAGTGAGAGATAATTGTCTACTTAGTATTAATGAGAAACCTTATTTGGCAGCAATAATTATTCATCACAAACCTAATTAACTTTGTTAATGAAAACAATGGCCAAAATCCGCAAGGTTTCAAGTTTTACTCAGAAGTTTGGAATTATTGATGTTATTTTACAAGTTCAGCATTGTCGTAAAACAAAGCCGGGGTGCAGATGGCAATCCCGGGCCCCTGGGCCCAACACTTGCATAAGTCCTACATGACATATCGATTTTAGACGTCTCCTGGTGTGGTTTGTACTAAAACAGCTATAAAATCTCCAATAAATACTGCGATATTCCCGGATTTTTGTCGCAAATAGAGAATTTTATACTACAAAACAAATGTTTACTATTATTGTATCTTGCACTTCCATTCTCCTCTAGAACAAAGGCGCATACCTGTCCGATTACTATAATATATAGCAAATACAAATTTTGAACAAAAAAATCGAATAACCAATAATTAAAACAAATCAAAACCAATTGTATAAAATATGACCAATATGGAAAGGTACGATTTGTTACTAATTCTTGCGAAAAATATTGTTACAGACTAATAGAAGGTTGTAAGATAGAAGATCGAGGAATAAAATCATGAGTGTAGAGGATACTAGCACGAATGTCATACATGGGTGGGGTTGCACTCCCACTGGTGACCATCCACCAGCAACCGCCACTTCTGAGAACAACTCCTCAAAAGGATGCCTGCCCTCAACTTTCACGAAGGGCTGGAGAAGAACCACCTTGTACAGCATTCTGATCTTCTTGATGGTACTTATATTCCTTAACATTGGTCTCACATTGTGGATTATCGGCGCTTTAAAGCTGACTATGGTGAGTACCGTTCAAAAGTTTTAAAAATTAAAAAAATTAAAGACAGTCAATAATGCAAGGGTAGAAACCGAATACATGTATAGATTAAGTGTGTATTTTTTAAAAGTTCTAATTAATGGTTAACATTTTTCCGTAACTGGAGAACCGAAATTTAACGCTTCTCTTCAGTTTTTGGTTGCCATAATCTTTCAAACAAATAAAAATAACATCTCAACATAATATATATAATATACATAATAAATATTTTCCATAAAGTACATAACAAAATCATACAAAATAACCGAACGATTTTCTGTTTCAGAATGGCGTTGGCCCCATAAGAATAGTAAGAGGTGGGATTCATGTAGATGGTCAGACATGGGTGCTAGATAACTTGGTGGCATCGACCATCACCTCACAAACGGGGCAACCCATCTCTATCCACTCACATCGTAACTTTACCGTGCTGGTTGCTGAGCCGGACCAACCGAATTATTCGAAGCTGTTCATCAGTAAGTATTATAGATTCGTAAATTTAGTTTTATGAATTAACATAGCTGGTATGCTTGTCATACAAGCACGTACAAGCATACCATCATTTTGTTTGAAATGTATGAATGTCATGTTTAAGGAATATTAACACAAGGATTGTAGTATTTAGTCGCTGCATACTAGGTACGACCCTTATGTCACATTTCTTCATAATTTTAATAGCACCCCATTATAGTGCTTCGTTGTTCCTGCATACCGATATAGGAGAAAGGCGTGAGTGTTTTTTTTTATGGCATAGGCCGGTAAACGAGCAGACGGATCACCTGATGGTAAGCAATCGGCGTCGCCCATGGACACCTGGAACAACAGAGTTTCACATAATAGAATAGAATACTTCTTAGGAGATATTTACCAAAGGGTCTAAAATATTCGTAGCCGAAGCCTGTAGTCCGCTACGAAACTAAACTCTCGTAGGCGTCATAGCGATTTTATTTTGTAGCCTTTGCTACGGCAATAAGTTCATGAGTTGTTAGTCAACGCTTTAATCAAAATGTTATTTCTGATTTTCAGAGCGTGATAACCTTGAGTTCAGCGGTCGTGCATTGCATGTGAACGATGCACGAGGCAGTCCCGTATTCTCTGCATCGCGGGATGAAGTGAGGATATTCTCTGATTCGCTAGCTGTTGATGGACCTGGCGGAGTCAATATTAAGACTGCTGTCCAAGTGCCTGTAGTACGAGCACCACCGGCCTTTGACTTACAGTACGTGCAACTGTTATGTACAGACATCAACTACCACGTACTTGACTTTCTATAATACTCTCTTTTGTGTCTTTTAGTCTGGAATCCCTGACAAGACGATTAGACTTAAGGGCACCAGAAAATATATTCATTGATAGCAGAGCTGGAAATATACAAATAACTTCACATGGGAACATCAAATTAGATTCTGTCGTCGGTAACGTAAGTTGGATCAATTCGACAGATTTAATAAATAAAAATATTTTCATAATTTTAATAAAGACGTATTGTTTCAGATAAAACTTAATGCTCAAAATATAGTGATCAATAATTTAAAAGAAGCAATTAGGACTGAAAAGCCTAATAAAAATATAAGAGGCATGAAAGTATACCAATTGTGTGCGTGTGCAACGGGGAAACTATTCCTGGCAGCTCCGGACGCGCCATGCATCGCGCGCGATGACGACACCGAACTCTGCCGATGATGCCCGAAGATAGCCGAGTGTATAGTGAAATAGTGATGCACCTCATAGCCAAAACAGACCATAGTGCCAAACTAGACTAAGTGGTTAGTAGGTGAAATTATAAAAAAATATTCCATAAATATTTTACTAACAAAAGTTATTTTAAATCTACACAGTATTGTTAAATGTTATCTATTTTAAAATTAAATATGGTAAATAGAAAAAACTTTTACATTTTGCACATTGGATTTTATGAAATTATAAATTATTTTTTTTTAAAGCATTTATGTGATGTATTTAAATATAAGCAGTATAACATAACATGCATAGTTTTAATAGCACTTTTAGTCAATTACGTAATTAATAGAATTAATGCATTTTACCAGCTCTTATGATTAGCGCCTTATGCCTTATAATAGAAGTACTAAAAAGTCATACAAGTAAGATATAATTAATGAACATTACGTAAACAATTGTAGTATAACAATAGAGGGTAATGGGTTCATTTACGTTATGCATTGTGAACAATACTGGGATGTATGTAGTTGCTTTTAGCGACTAAAACAAAAGTTGACTCAGCTCACTCACTGTCCTGAGTCTCCTGTAGTTTATTTATATCTGTATTATAAAGCTTAATTTACTTTCGTTGTGTCAATATCAAAATTTATCTTTGAGTGTAGTTATCTTATGTTCATACCTTAACCAAACAAGAAGTGTTTATACAAGTCGTCAACGCATAATGTAAATGGATCTAAGAGAAATATAGCCCTAGCCATTGAATAAAATTGCCATTGTATAGATCAGGTTACATTTTGTTTACATACGCATTTGGAATTGTTAAATAAAATATTTATTGATTAATATATATTGAATAATTATTGATCTGATGTTTAGTTTGAAAGTCCTGTAATCGATTCTTGTAGATTATTGTAGATTTACGACGTCGTAATATCTTAACATAGAAATAATCGATTTAACTACAAACAACCCACGTATATCTGCAATGCTATAAAGCGCATATCTGCTAGATCATAGAGCAGAGAATTCGAAATATCATAAATGAGCTAATTCCGAAATATCTGTTCGGGTTAAAATCCCAAGCGAGTGATTAGAGTGGTACCGCATAGGATCGCGGCGAGTCGCGTGGTCCGCGTGGCAGTCGATGGCAGCACCGTCGCGCCACACACTACGCCGCACCGCACCGCGCCGCGTCCTCGGTAATTAGAGCTGCCCGCCGACCACCCTAATTGAAACCGCAACGACAACGTTTTGTTTCTGTCGCTTTTTTCCCCGCGCTGTTAACGAGGGGCAACATTAGGATTGCATCTTTAGAATTTTGCTTACTTGCTACACGTCCTCGATTCAATACTGTGGAGCTTTAGTTGTTTGAGTAATTAGCTAAATCCAGCTTCCAGCGGCGGTGCTGTTTTAAATTTGTTACATTTTTAGAATATCCATGACTGTGGTTAAAAATAGAGTAATGATGAATGAAGATGCATTAATTAACTGATTTATGATTCTGTGACACTAGTAGTCACGTCCAATGTGCAAACTACACATTACAACGACACCCAATCAACGACCATGTTCCTGTAATCAGATAAATGTGAAGATCCCGATAATATATTAGGTAATTACAGGTGCTCAGTGTTAATGTGTATGTCGATCCTATTTCTATGTAAATGGGATCCTGTGCAAATAATAACGCAACACTCACTGCGGAAAGGAAGACATCCCCCCAGAACGCATTCGTTCACACTGTGTTTTATTTGTTTACTTTATCCTACTACGCATGACGTAAAGGAGTTGTCAACTGTTACATTTATCTCCCGGTACTTTTTTTAGTTACGACTCAATAAACAAAAGACAATCGTGTACAAATATTTGCACACGTTTTGATTTTCGTTTGTTCATCCAATCTTTTGCGCTATAAAATACGACGCAACATTTGGGGAGTGTCAAAGACAATTTTGTGTAAAACAGTTTTAAAGAAATTCAATCGTATTTCGGTGATGTAGTGTTGTTAGCATAACCCCAACGAGTCGACTATTACGTTTGTTGTGGAATGTTACAAGTTTGCCCGTTGTTTCATTTGTCGCTAAGGGCACAACTTTCTTTACGACTCTCCGGATACCTTTTAAATGCGCTCCCTACAGCATCACGGCCTACCGTTTTATCAGATCACCTCCCATTACCCTCGACATGCACATATGTTTCACAGTTTTTTGTTTTCGTCTTCCTTTTTTATTGGGATTATAAATAAAGATAATATCTATTTGTAATGGTTGAGATCGTTGTGTCCTTTTCATATTCAGTTTTATGTGTCTAGTTTAGTTTTTTGACATCATAACCCTTTTGTTGGTTATTCTTATTCTGTTAGATAGCTCTCTATATTTATATTGCATTTTTTATTTTATTGATTATTTGACTAGAGTTGCTATTCAAAATACTTACCTATATAGTGTTTGAGCTGGAGCCTTGTAGTAGATACACATTAAGAACATATACAGGCTATGGCAAACCAAAAAACAATTTAAGTGACACACAAATGACAAACAATTTCTATAAGGTTCCTTAGAATCTTGAACAAATTGTTTAGAAATAAGAATCTGGCAGGAGATGGCAAGTTTCGGGTGGAGCAGAAAGTGTCCAGCTCTGAGTTCATCGACTTGTCCACATTATGTAGATGAGGCCGCAGGTGCTCGTTATGTGACCAGCCGTACACAGTATAAAAACTTCGACGAACAAAACGATCCTTATACTCACTAGTTGTGGACACAACGCCCTCTGTCGTTATTTTATAAGAAGCCATAAGTGTTTGATATACCGAAACATTTTCTTCGGTTCATTTTAGATGCCAAGTACCAATAACATAATTCCAATTTCTGACAATTAAAAAATTGCTTATAAATGTATTGTCCATACGTTTTTATCTACGTTATTTCGTTAAATTCAACGAAAATAACAATTTGAAACAACAACCTGACTACAAAAGAAGAAATTGAATCAATGAGAATTTAACTTACAGTAATAAAGAGCATACACATCAGGAACAGCATAGTGTTTACAATACAAGAAACAGTAGATAAATATCAAATTTGTGACAAATAGGAACATTTCGGGAGTTGGTACGCGGATGATAAATACGGCTGTTAAAGCCACCTGGCCGCGATACCTGTCTGCAACCAGTATTTACGTAATACCCGATGCTAACTGTACCCACTATGCATATATAAAACTACAAAATATGCCAGCGATATTTTGTCTCTATTCGTCCTCTAAAAATAACCACCGTGACATACAAGGTAAAAAATATACTACTGTTAAGTCACCTATAGATTATTATTTCAGATCAGGTCGTTGACTTTGACTTTGACTGATGATGCGCTTTAAAATGTGTTAAAAAATGCAAATCCACATTTTAATAAAGAAACAGTGATTATTTAATGTAAAATGAAATGCGTAAATTAATGTTTATGGGGCGGCTGCAGTAATACATGTAACAACACAAATAAAGGTAGAATATTTTCGCGAGATATAAAAGTATAATGAGGACGCGCAAAATGTAATTTTAATTTTATTCTTGCCACTTTTTTCCACGGCTGGTGTCGCTTAATCATAATCACGGGGTGCGTGATAATCTCACGGCTCGAGCAGGAATGAAGAGGAAACGACACACGGATTATTTTTTCTCGTTATCTCCCTGTTAGCTCCTTTCAGAACCATTTTTTACATATTAAGCTTAAGTTTCTAGAGCCATATAAGTATTAATGCGACGATTCTTCACCTCGCAGGTATTTAAATTACACATGATTGAAATACAAATTTTCTGCATATTTAATATGCAAAAATATCTGGTCAATTTTACAAAAAAAGCACCTCCTTATCTACCAACAAATATTTTAAGAAAACAAATTATAAAGCATCATTAATAATATGTCAATCACAGTACTTCCCCGCTCACTCCAGCACAAATATCTATCAGTCTTACTTAGCCGAGTAACTTAGTTAATTTTGTTTTCGAAAAATTCTTGCCTGCTCAGGTGACTGAAACGAACGTGGGTAAGCCTGAAGCACATTAAAACATAATTACATTTCTGAACAAAATTAACTTGGTGTTGTTTTAAGATTTTTGCTTTCAAGTGGAATTGCAGTCATACCGATCAACGATTTACCATCTTTCGCTTATGCAAATGTATTGTGAAGACAAGGCGGTGCGCGGCGCGCGGCGCTTCCTCTCCGGGACCCGGCATTATATGGCAATCCCACTTTGTCAAGGCACCGACTTGCCTGTTATTGCGGAATGTTTCACCTGCAACACACTAACGGAACGTACTGTAATAACATTTACACAAGGGAAATTCAAACGTCGAACTATTTGCGCATTTGCCCCAAAATGGAATTTCTTTGTTACACTAACGATAAATATTGTATGAATGGTGTGACAAAGAAGTCAAAAGGCAACGTTTGTGTCGCCATCAAATATTGAAAGGCGTAGACGTTATTATTTGCAAAAATATATTTTGCTGTCGCTGCTTAAATAAATAGCAGCTTCAGTAAAACTAAAAAGCAGCCGCCAAGGCTAAGAGGGTACTGGTAAATGTTTTAAATTAATCAAGGCAAGAGTACAATCGGCTGATTTGCATTTATACGAGGTACTCGCGCTCGCGCTCGGTCAAACCGCATCGATATCTAAACGGTTTGTCTTCAAACACTGGCACAATCATACATTCCTTTGTCTTTAGATCAATACTTACATTGTTAATATTTAAATGGATATTATTAATTATTGTAAGTCGATTCACAAGCAGTACATAAGCATGATGTTTAATTTAATTGTAATTTAAAAACCTAATTTCGAACAATTAGTTAGTAATTAGCAATGGCGAGGAGACATTTCTCTTAATTAGTAATTATGTATGACACAATGGTGCGGCAAGCTACACAGGCATAGCTAAGTACAATAGCCAGAGCTTCATGTAGCGATTAGATAATCTCATAATAGCCTGGGAGCTGACATGTTTTGATTACTGACACCTATAATGCACGCGAAGTTAATTAAGCACATTG